ATGGGTTAAAATCGGGGAAAATGGGGGGAAAACGGCTAAAAACGGCATCGAAAGGGTTAAAGATGGCATCGAAATGGTTAAAAATGGAGTTAAAGATGGCACAGAAAGGGTTAAAGTGGGGCACGGCCAGCGGCGCCGGGGACACCGCGGGGGGCACTGCAAGGGGGGAGAGAAAACACAGGAAAACGGGTTAGAAACGGGGGAAAATGGGGGAAAACTGGGGTAAAAGGGGTTAAAAATGGGACAGAAAGGGTTAAAAACGGCATAGAAAGGGTTAAAAATGGGATAGAAAGGGTTAAAAATGGGACAGAAAGGGTTAAAGATGGGATAGAAAGGGTTAAGATGGTTTTAAATGTGGCACAGAAAGGGTTAAAAATGGAGATAAATGTGTCATAGAAAAGGTTAAAACGGCACAGAAATTGACAGAAAATGGGGTTAAAAATGGGGAAAAAATGGAAAAAACTGAGGAAAAAATGGGGGAAAAGTGTGGAAAAATGAGGTAAAAATTGGGTAAAAATGGGGTAAAACTGGGATAAAAAATGGAGTAAAAACAGGGTAAAAATGGGGTAAAAATGGTAAAAAATGGGGTAAAAATGGGGTAAAACTGAGATAAAAAATGGAGCAAAAACAGGGTGAAAATGGGGAAAAAATGGTAAAAAATGGGGAAAAAATGGGGAAAATGGGGTAAAAATGGGGGAAAAATGGAAAAAAATGGTAAAAAATGGGGTAAAATGGAGTTAAAATGGGGAAAAAATGGGGGAAAAATGAGGTAAAAATTGGGGTAAAAATGGAGTAAAAATGGGGTAAAAGCAGGCTGAGCAGGCAGTGAAAAGGGGGCGAAACCGGCGTCAGGCATGGGTTCAAACGGCGCGAAAGGGGTTAACGGCAGCACGCGCTCCCGCAGGCAGCGCAGCAGCCACAGCCGCCGCGGGGGGCACTGCAATGGGGGAGAGAAAACGGGGAGAAATGGGTTAAAATGGGGTAAAACGGGGTAAAAGGGGTTAAAAATGGCACAGAAAGGGTTAAAAATGGGATAGAAAGGGTTAAAATGGCGTTAAAGATGGCACAGAAAGGGTTAAAGTGGGGCACGGCCAGCGGCGCCGGGGACACCGCGGGGGGCACTGCAAGGGGGAGAAAACGGGGAGAAATGGGTTAAAATCGGGGAAAATGGGGGAAAAATGGGGGAAAAGGGGTTAAAAATGGGACAGAAAGGGTTAAAAATGGGATAGGAAGGGTTAAAAATGGGACAGAAAGGGTTAAAAATGGCGTAATTATGGCATAGAAGGGGTTAAAAATGGGATAGAAGGGGTTAAAGATGGAGTTAAAGATAGCAGAGTAAGGGTTAAAAATGGGATAGAAAGGGTTAAAAATGGAGATAAATACGGGATAGGAAGGGTTAAAAATGGGACAGAAAGGGTTAAAGATGGCATAGAAAGGGTTAATAATGGGATATGAAGGGTTAAAGATGGGATAGAAAGGGTTAAAATGGCGTTAAAGATGGCACAGAAAGGGTTAAAGTGGGGCACGGCCAGCGGCGCCGGGGACACCGCCGGGGGCACTGCAATGAGGGGAGAAACACAAAAAAATGGGTTAGAAACGGGGAAAAATGGGGGAAAAACGGCTAAAAACGGCGTAGAAAGGGTTAAAATGGCATAGAAAGGGCTAAAAATGGGGAAAAACCGGCTAAAAACGGCATAGAAAGGGTTAAAGTGGGGCACGGCCAGCGGCGCCGGGGACGGTTAAAAATGGGGGAAAATGGGGAAAAACCGGCTAAAAACGGCATAGAGAGGGTTAAAAACGGCATAGAGAGGGTTAAAAATGGGATAGAAAGGGTTAAAAATGGGATAGGAAGGGTTAAAAATGGGATAGAAAGGGTTAAAAATGGGATAGGAAGGGTTAAAAATGGGATAGAAAGGGTTAAAGATGGGATAGAAAGGGTTAAAGATGGGACAGAAAGGGTTAAAAATGGAGAGAAATATGGGATAGAAGGGGTTAAAAATGGACTTAAAGATGGCACAGAAAGGGTTAAAAATGGGATAGGAAGGGTTAAAAATGGGTTACATTTGGGTAATAAAGGGTTAAAGTGGGGCACGGCCAGCGGCGCCGGGGACACCGAGGGGGGCACTGCAAGGGGGAGAAAACGGGGAGAAATGGGTTAAAATGGGGAAAAACGGGTTAAAAACGGTGAAAAATGGTGAAAGAACGGCATAGAAAGGGTTAATAATGGCATAGAAAGGGCTAAAAATGGGATAGAAAGGGTTAAAAATGGAGATAAATGTGGCATAGAAAGGGTTAAAAATGGCACAGAAAGCGTTAAAATGGTTTTAAATGTGGCACAGAAAGGGTTAAAGATGGCACAGAAAGGGTTAAAGATGGCACAGAAAGGGTTAAAAATGGAGTTAAAGATGGCAGGGAAAGGGTTAAAAGTGGAGATAAATGTGGCATAGAAAGGGTTAAAAATGGCACAGAAAGGGTTAAAAATGGAGTTAAATGTGGCATAGAAAGGGTTAAAGATGGGATAGAAAGGGTTAAATGGGGCAGAGGTGCTGGCACTGAAATTGAGAGAAACTGGGGTAAAAAAAGGGTTAAAAATGGGGAAAGATTGGGTAAAAATGGGGCGAAAATGGGGAAAAATGAGGGAAAAATGACGAAAAAATCAGGAAAAAAATGGTAAAAAAATGGTGAAAAATGGGGTAAAACTGGGACAAAAAAAGAGTAAAAACAGGGTGAAAATGGGGAAAAAATGGTAAAAAATGAGGAAAACATGGGGGAAAAATGAGGAAAAAATGGAAAAAAATGAGATAAAAATTGGGTAAAAATGGGGTAAAAATGGGGTAAAACTGGGATTAAAAAAAGAGTAAAAACAGGGTGGAAATGGGGAAAAAATGGTAAAAAATGGGGGGAAAATGGAAAAAAATGGGGTAAAAATGGAGTAAAAATGGGGTAAAACTGGGATTAAAAAAAGAGTAAAAACGGTGAAAATGGGGAAAAAATGGTAAAAAATGGGGTAAAAATGGAGTAAAAATGGGGGAAAAATGGTAAAAAGTGTGGAAAAATGAGATAAAAATTGGGTAAAAATGGGGTAAAAATGGGGTAAACATCAGGGAAAAAATGGTAAAAAAGTGTGGAAAAATGACATAAAAATTGGGTAAAAATTGGGTAAAACTGGGATAAAAAATGGAGTAAAAACAGGGTGGAAATGGGGAAAAAATGGGGTAAAAATGGGGGAAAATGGGCTGAAAATGGAAAAAGAATGAGGAAAAAGTGGGGAAAAAATGGTAAAAAATGTGGAAAAATGAGATAAAAATCGGGTAAAAATTGGGGAAAAATGGGGTAAAACTGGGATTAAAAAATGGAGAAAAAACAGGGTGGAAATGGGGAAAAATGGTAAAAAACAAGGAAAAAATGGGGAAAAATGGGCTAAAAATGGAAAAAGAATGAGGAAAAAATGGGGAAAAATTGGGTGAAAAATGGGGTAAAACTGGGATAAAAAATGGAGTAAAAACAGGGTGAAAATGGGGAAAAAATGGTAAAAAATGGGATAGAATGGGTTAAAAATGGAGTTAAGTTTGGGTAATAAAGGGTTAAAGTGGGGCACAGCCAGCAGCGTGGGGACAGAGAGAAAATGGGGAGAAATGGGTTAAAAACGGGGAAAAACGGGGAAAAAAAGGTTAAAAATGGGAAAAATGGGTTAAAAATGGCACAGAAAGGGTTAAAAATGGGACAGAAAGGGTTAAAATGGGGTCACATGTGAGACAAACAGCGCTGACCCCCTGAGTTTGGGTTCAAACCCCTCGGTTTGGGTTCCAACCTCCCGATTTGGGGCGGTTTCAGGTCAAACCCCCCCAAACCGCCCCGAAACGCCCGAAATTGCCCAAAACCACAGGAATTCAGCCCATTACCGTCTCCGGGCCTGGGCAGCAGGTGGCAGAGACCCCTGAGACCCCCTGAATTTGGGTTCAAACCCCTCGATTTGGGTTCAAACCCCTCGGTTTCAGTTCCAACCTCACGATTTGGGTTCAAACCTCCTGATTTTGAATCAAACCCCCCCAAACCGCCCCAAAATTGCCCGAAATTGCCCAAAATCGCAGGAACTGAGCCCATTACCGTCTCCAGGCGCGGGCGGCAGGCGGCAGAGACCCCCTGAGACCCCCTGAGACCCCCTAAACCCTCCCAATTTGGGTTGAAACCCCTCGATTTGGGTTCAAACCTCTCGATTTCAGGTCAAAGCCAGCGGTTTCACTTCAAACCTCACCAAACCCCCCCGAAACGCCCGAAATTGCCCAAAACCCTAGGAACTGAGCCCATTACCGTCTCCGGGCGCGGGCGGCAGAGACCCCCTGAGACCCCCTGAACCCTCCCAATTTGGGTTCAAACCTCCTAATTTGGGTTCAAACCCCTCGGTTTGGGTTCAAACCTCCCGATTTCAGGTCAAACCGCCCCGAAACGCCCAAAATTGTCCGAAATTGCCCAAAATTGCCCAAAATCGTGGGAACTGAGCCCATTACCGTCTCCGGGCGCGGGCGGCAGGCGGCAGAGACCCCTGAGACCCCCTAAACCCTCCCAATTTGGGTTCAAACCTCCCAATTTGGGTTCAAACCCCTCGGTTTGGGTTCAAACCTCCCGATTTCAGGTCAAACCGCCCCGAAACGCCCAAAATTGTCCGAAATTGCCCAAAATTGCCCAAAATCGTGGGAACTGAGCCCATTACCGTCTCCGGGCGCGGGCGGCAGGCGGCAGACCTGGCGGCACATGGCCACGAAGCCGTGGTAGAAGCGCGTCAGCTCCTCGTCCGAGCGGCGCTCCAGCCCGGCCAGCGCGCGGAAGCGGCCCCAGCGGAAGCGGCCCGAGCCCGGCTCCAGCTCCACGCCGAAGGACGAGGCCACGCGCAGGAAATCGGCCTGCTCGCGCCGCGTCCACCTGGCAGCGGGGTGAAAAACGGGGAAAACGGTTAAAAACGGCGAAAAAACGGCGAAAAACGGCCAAAGAATGGAGAAAAACGGCCAAAGAATGGAGAAAGAAACACCCAGAAACCCCCAAAAGCAGCCCAAATGTGAGGCCACACTCAGGAACTCGGCCTGCTCGTGCCGCGTCCACCTGGCAGCGGGGTGAAAAACGGGGAAAACGGTTAAAAACGGCGAAAAAACGGGAAGAAACGGTGAAAAAATGGTGAGAAACGGCCAAAGAACGGCGAAAAACGGGGAAAACGGTTAAAAACGGCGAAAAAACGGGAAGAAACGGTGAAAAAATGGTGAGAAACGGCCAAAGAACGGCGAAAAACGGGGAAAACGGTTAAAAACGGCGAAAAAACGGGAAGAAACGGTGAAAAAATGGTGAGAAACGGCCAAAGAACGGCGAAAAACGGGGAAAACGGTTAAAAACGGCGAAAAAACGGGGAGAAACGGTGAAAAAATGGTGAGAAACGGCCAAAGAACGGCGAAAAACGGCCAAAGAATGGAGAAAAAACCACCCAGAAACCCCCAAAAGCAGCCCAAATGTGAGGGCAGACTCAGGAACTCGGCCTGCTCGTGCCGCGTCCACCTGGCAGCGGGGTGAAAAACGGGGAAAACGGTTAAAAACGGGGAGAAATGGCGAAAAAACGGTGAAAATCGGTGAAAAAATGGAGAAAAATGGTCAAAGAATGGTGAAAAGATGGGAAAAAAGCAGCCCAAATGTGAGGGCAGACACAGGAAATCGGCCTGCTCGCGCCGCGTCCACCTGGCAGCGGGGTGAAACAGCAAGGAAATGGTTAAAAATGGGGAGAAACGGGGAAAAAACGGCAAAAAAATGGGAAGAAATGGTGAAAAAATGGTGAGAAACGGTCAAAGAACGGCGAAAAACGGCCAAAGAATGGAGAAAGAAACACCCAGAAAGCCCCAAAAGCAGCCCAAATGTGAGGGCACGCGCAGGAAATCGGCCTGCTCGCGCCGCGTCCACCTGGGAACGGGGAGGAAATGGTTAAAAACGGGGAGAAATGGGGAAAAAATGGTGAAAATCGGTGAAAAAATGGCGAAAAAACGGCCAAAGAATGGAGAAAAAATGGTGAAAAAATGGGAAAAAACCAGCCCAAACCAGAGGCCACGTGCAGGAACTCGGCCTGCTCGTGCTGCATCCAGCTGGAAATGGGGTGAAAAACGGGGAAAATGGGAAAAAATGGGGAGAAATGGTGAAAAAATGAGAAAAAATGGAGAAAAATGGTGAAAGAATGGTGAAAAAATGGAGAAAAAACCACACAGAAAGCCCCAAAAGCAGCTCAAATGTGAGGGCAGAACAGGAACTCGGCCTGCTCCAGCTGGAATTGGGGTGAAAAATGGGGAAAATGGGAAAAAATGGAAAAAAATATGGAAAAAATGGTGGAAAAATGGCGAAAAAACGGCAAAAAACGGTCAAAGAATGGGGAAAAACGGTGAAAAAATGGGAAAAAAATGGTGAAAAAAATGGGAAAAAAACCCCAAAAGCAGCCCAAATGTGAGGGCAGAACAGGAACTCGGCCTGCTCCAGCTGGAAATGGGGTGAAAAATGGGGAAAATGGTGGAAATGGGGTGAAAAACGGGGAAAATGGGAAAAAATGGGGAGAAATGGTGAAAAAATGAGAAAAAATGGAGAAAAAATGGCGAAAAACGGTGAAAGAATGGAGAAAAACGATGAAAAAATGGGAAAAAAATGGTGAAAAAAATGGGAAAAAAAACCCCAAAAGCAGCCCAAATGTGAGGGCAGAACAGGAACTCGGCCTGCTCGTGCTGGAAATGGGGTGAAAAACAGGGAAAATGGGAAAAAATGGGGGGAAACGGGGAAAAAATGACAAAAAATGGAGAAAAAATGGGAAAAAACGGTCAAAGAATGGAGAAAAACGGTGAAAAAATGGGAAAAAAAACCCCAAATCCAGCCCAAATGTGAGGGCAGAACAGGAACTCGGCCTGCTCCAGCTGGAATTGGGGTGAAAAACGGGGAAAATGGGAAAAAATGGAAAAAAATATGGAAAAAGTGGAAAAAAATATGGAAAAAGTGGTGGAAAAACGGCGAAAAAATGGAAAAAAAGTGAGAAGAAATCCGGCAGAGACCCAAAGGTGAGCGCGGCACAGAGAGAGGTTCCGGCCCAAAAATCCCCAAATTTCCCCAAAAAATGACCCAAATTTCCCAAAAAATCCACAAATTTCCAAAAAAATCCACAAATTGCCCCCAAAAATCCCGAATGTTCCCCCCAAAATCCCAAAAAATTCCCCAAATTCCCCCAAAAATCCACAAATTTCCCCAAAAATCCACAAAATACCCCCAAAAATCCACAAATAACCCCAAAAATCCCCAAATTTCCACCAAAAATCCACAAATTTCCTCCTAAAAACTCCAAATTGCCCCCCAAAAACCTCAAATTCCCCCCAAAAATCCCCAATTTCCCCCCA